TCTCCTGACTTGTGGGCTAGCGCACTATCTTAAGGATCATGCTGTCTCTCAGGCACAATTAGGAATGTTTACGAGACTTCCCTGGAAATTCCCCTGGGATGGTGCTAGTGCAAAATAATCCAAAAAGAATTGCAGAGGTCAAGTATTCCAGGCCAGTGGAAGCAGCTGTGCCAGGCCCCACTACACACACACACACACACACACACACACACACACATTAACAAAAGAAACATAAGCACAGAATTTATATATCCTGCAGATCTTTTTGGGGAGGCACTGCAATTGCACCTTTCACCCACCACGGGCTTCTGTGGTGCCAGAAGAAAGGGAAGCTGGCTCACCGCTGGAGCAGCCAACTGTGGAGAGGGAGGGGGAACTTTGGCCTTGCTGCCCCCACTCCTACAAAGGTTCCAGCACCCTTGCTGTGATCCTTCCTCTGAAGCATCAAGAATGACTGCTGTTGGAGATCGGACACTGGGCATGGGGGAGGGGAGCAGTACTCTGAGGTGAGGCCAAGCATTCTCTTTCTCAGGTGCTTAATTGTCTGGTTCTTGCTCACGTGCTCAAGAAGGTAATTTCCTCCTAGGTCAGACTGGCAGTGACCTTGTTTTTTTAGTTGGTTTGTTTGCCTTCCTCTGCAATGATGGGCGCAGTTCTTATGGGTATATCTCAATCAATTTCCTAACACTACTAGGGCCTTTGGGCATCAGTGCACTTCAGTCCCTCCTCTTTTCTGCCTGTGACACATAATAGTTTAGTCTCCTGCAGGCAGTAATACATTTGTCTAATTCAGATTGGTGGGTGTGGCGTGTGGGTGGCTGGGCGGTGTTGGTGGCCTGTGATATACCCAAGGTCAGACTGGATGATCTGAAGGTCCCTTCTGGACTTAAATTATATTTGGCGAGTGGAAAAAAAACCCTACAGGTTCAGCAGCTGCAAAAATGGATTACTATTGCAGAGTACAAAGCTAACCTAGCAAGATCTCAGAAGTAATTTGAGTAATTGTAGCAAAGAGAGACAACTAGTGTTTGCCACTGCAGAAGAGATGTGGGAGAAAGGTCATGGAGAAATGGTGAATTCTAAGTTAGCATCAGTAAACATAAAACAAAAGGAGCTGGAAGAGAAGATACTTCTCAAAGGAGAACTAGAACTAATACAAAGATTTTAAACTGTCTGATTAAAAATTAACTGACAGCAGTCTGGACTTAGTGGAACATAGGAAAACAGGATGAAGCTGTTGAAAACAAGAACAAGGCAAAAGCTCAGATTAGTGCAACCGTGGAAATCCAGCCCTTGATCTTGAAGAATGAACAGGCTGAGGATGGAAAAGACAGGAATATCAGCGTTCTCAGAGCAACTTGCAATGATAAAGGTTGTGTCAGACAAAGCTAGTTTGATTTTACCTGCAGTCGCACAATTGTTATCCATCTGTTATGTTCATATTGAATAACTTCAGAATCAGAAGCAACCTTGGCTTGCTGAATGCACGCCAATTTCTACACTGTATTTTGTGACGCTTTTCATTATCTGTACTGCAGGCCTGGTGATAGCAGCACTAGCCAGGATCAGAATGACACTCGGCAAGTCCTTCTGTTAGTGAATAATATTATGAAAATGTTCATGAACTAGATGCTGCTGTTCAGCAGGAGGAGACTTTTTTTTTTTTTTAAATTGAAAGATGAAGAGACTGAAAATGAGGGAATTGGGAAATGTATTTGAATCTGAACTTTGTATTTGCAGGGACCCCTGCAAATGATAAGGATTCAAACAAGTTGTTCCTCTGGGGAACAAGACTACCCAGTGCACCATATGTATTCTCTAATGTCTATTGGGTCATGTTAAATATATGTGTGAGGCAAGATCTGGTCCTAAAGTAATTATAAATAATGTTAACGTTCATATAGCAGGCAAATAGTTTATATTAAGATAAAATGAAATAGACTGCTTAAGAGGTAAAAGCGTAGAGGGAACCCTGGGATAAGCTCATAGGAAGAGTCAGTATGGGAGCCTTAAAGTCTACCTGTCCTGCAGAAAAGGAGAGTCCTTTAAAAGGAACTCTATGGTATTTAATGGAATTTACCCAGCAGAAAAGGAAATAGTCAGTTCCTGGCCAACCCTATTCTTTATGAATTCCTACATCTTGTGGATTGATGGGGTTTAACATTCACAGTCATCAGCACCACCTAGCCACATCAACATGTCCATTAGGGAAAGAAGAATTTTGTAAAAACATTTCCTGTTAATATAGAGGGGGGAAAATAAAGAATATGATCATTTTCGCAAGATGTATTTCTGCCTTGTTTGGGGAATGTGCTTCATTAAAATAGAGCTCTTTGCCTTGTAGAGTATGTCTGCTACAGCTGGGCGGTGTGATTCCCAGCTCAGGTTGACCTATGCACACTAGCTCTGCTTAAGCTAGTGTGCTAAAAATATCAGTGTTGCCTGAGGTAGCACGGGCAGCGGCTTGGGTAGGGTTACCATACGTCCGGATTTTCCCGGACATGTCCAGCTTTTTGGGACTCAAATCCCCGTCCAGGGGGAAATCCCAAAAAGCC